AATTTACCGAACTTTATTATATGGTCTAAATCTCAAACTCACATCTTGATTCGTAAGAGACTCACATAATCATCAAATTATAGATTCGGTAATTTAATGTATTAAACTCATAATAAAATCAACACATATATAAATAAATCACATAAATCTTAAATTAAAAAAATAAAGGATCACAAGTCGACTAAATCGTTTTCCTTAATATAAAAATTAGTTATTCTTATTGCAAAAATAAAAACACGCGAAAATTGATGAAACGTGAAAATTTTTGGTGTTTGTCTTTCTTCTTTTCTTTTCTTTCCTTTCTCTTTTTCTTTTTCCTTTTCTCCTCTGCCTTTTTTCTTCTTTTCTCTCTCTCTCTCGTCTTTCTTTTTCTTTTTCTCCTCTACCTTTTTCTTCTTTTCCCTAGTTTCTATGTTTTTCCCTGTTTTTTTTTTTGCGCCCCTTTGCCTTGTGTATTAATATTTCTTTCCGAGGTTTCATTTTGAATTTTGCCATTTTTTGCCACTTTTGTATTCTTTTCTCCAATTCTTCATAAAATATAAAGTTTTACCTACAAAACACAATATAATATCAATTAGGTAGAATTTAATCCAAAAGATAATAAAATATCATAATTTATGGCCACGAATAAGCGTATAAGCTACACTTATCACATCCCCAAACTTAAACCTTTGTTTGTCCTCAAACAAAGTTTAAATCTAACAAACGCACAAACAAGCAATGTTAATTACATAATTAGTAGGCAATCAATCAAGTAAAGTAACAAGATTTAACTAGTTAACCCGACTTTTCATCTAGGGATTGAACTCATAATAACAAATCCATTCACAACTTCAAAATTTCAATACAAAAATCAAAATCCACTTTTCCATTATAAAATCGACGTGTGTGTGTGTGAAGAATTAAGCATAGTATTATGAATTTATAAAATTTTCAATTTCCAACCCTCAAAAGTCAGATATGTTCTTTCATCACTTGTAAGATTCACACACCCTCAAACTTGTTCTTTTCACTCTTTTCTAGCGTGTGAACTAATGTTTGATTTTTTTACTATCCTCACCTCTCTAGTTTGGCAAAATTTCATCAATTGCAGTTCAATTTTC